ACCAGTGTCCTTACCACTTCACCCCACCACAACACTGTTGTTCACCTACAAAACCACACTGAAGGGAGGATTGGTACGAGGAAAGCAAAAATCTCCCTCCCAAGAGTCTGCATCAGAAAAACATGACAAAGCAGAACAAAAGAAAACACAACAAGAAACATTTTCATTACGTTCATTCTTCAAGATATTTTCTGAAAATATATCATCACAAGACCTCACACATTTCAGATATTTTTTTAAATATAAGGACATAGCTAAATAGTAATCTTTATATGAAACAATGAGCCAGGAGAGCACCATTCAAAGGGTAAGTTTGTTGTAAATCCAAACAATTTGTGTACAGTAGACTGACAGCCCTATACCTTAAACATCGCTGTTAAATCACAATGGTTAAGCCAGACTTTGGCCTTGGCAGTACCGTCAAGTCCCTTCATAAGAATCCTATAAATATTCATTATTATTATAACGTTTAGCCACTCTTTTCTCTTTGTATTATGAGAGTGGTGTTCCCTGACCCCAGTTTTGATTAGAACCTAAGATCAAGGTCCTTCAACCATCTAGAGTGCACTCTAGTAGAGTTCTACAGCAGTGAACTTTGAATAAATTCCCTGGTTTTCCCAAAATCCCCGATTGGAGGTTCTCGGAATCAGGAATATGCAGGAAATCAGGAATCCTCCAACCAGGATTTCTGGAAAACCAGGGAATTTATTCAAAGTGGCCGGAATTTTGCAACCCTAGTCCCCACAGTCTCAGAAAAGGACGGTAAAGTACAGAGAACCCAGGCAGCTCAGTGCATGGCCAGATCACACTGGCCAGTTGTATGGGTCCAGTTCTATTGGGCTGTTGGTCTCTAAAGTGTGCCATAAGATGGGAGAATATCTCCCCCCACAGTTGTTGTGAAAGAGGCCACTTTGTCCAGTTTACAGGTTGGAATCGAACAACACTGCTCTGAGTTCATTATCAACAATCATGGTTTGCTCCCCCCACTGCACCTAAGGGAAATTATTGCTCTCAACGCTAGACTATTGCTCCGAGTTTGGCTTTTATTGAGTCTATTGATCGTCACTCTCATGACTTCTCTTTCTATCTTTTACTCTCTCTTTTTTTCTCTCACACACTCATACACACATACAGGTAGGTCATTACACTCACTCAGTCACTCTTTCACACACCTACACATACACACATGTACAAACGCACACACACAGTGTGTTAAAGGGAAGGTTAATGGAGAGTAGACACATAGAACACTAGTTGGGGAGATTGCGCGGTAAATGGAGCGTGACTTCCAAGTACACATGAGAGGGCCTGTGTGAACCACATCCGTCCTCGTTTTCTCAACATCACTACCCCTCCCCTAGTGGGACCTGCTCTGTCTTAGGCACTCACCGAAAGTCGATCTGCCGTTCCTTCGCCGTTCGTTCGGCGGTTTGTTTTTACGGACCACTTGCTAAGGGGCGGCAGTCAGCGATTCTACATGTTTGCATTCTGCAAATTACGTCTGGCAGTCTGTTCAGAGATGCTAAGTTCTCTAAGCCGGCAAAAGCTACCGGTGTGTTATTTTTGCCTCAACCAGGTAAGATCTCTCTGGCATACTCTCACATTCATTATCATAACTTTTGAACTTCTCTGCCTCACATTCTTTCTCAGAACTACGGAACATTCTCTGCCTCACATTCTTTCTCAGAAATAGGGAATTTTCTCTGTCTCAAATTCTACCTCAACTAGTGAACTTTCTCTGCTTCACATCCCATTTCAGAACTATTGAACTTTCTCTCCCTCACATTCTATTTCATAACTAGAACTTTCTCTGCCTCACATCCTATCTCTTAACTTTCTCCATCTCACTTTCTTTCTCACAAGTTTCTCTGTCTCACATTCTATCTCAGAACTTTCTCTGTCTCACTTTCTCACCACTTTCTCTGTCTCACATTCTATCTCAGAACTATTGAACTTTCTCTGCCTCACATTCTATCTCAGAACTTGTAAACTCTCTCTGCCTTACATTCTATCTCTGAACTAGTAAAGTTTCTTCCTTATACATTAGAACTAAAAAAATAACCCTCTGTCTCAAATATTAAACCTAACCACAGAATCTTCTCAGATAATCTACATCACCCCCAAAACAAGCTTGATATTTTAAAACATTACCATATCTCAACGACTGCCTACATACTCTGATCCTCTTAGAACATTATCTAGACCATCTCAGAATTAATCTCATCCTCAATAATATGCAACAAAACATCCCTCTCACATTCTGTACATTTTGGGAACATTTTGTAACATTCTTATGTATTCTCTCTCTGTGTGCATTCTATATCTTCTGTAATGTTGTTCAACATATTTACAGGCAGTCCACTGCGACTGGCTTTTTCTAAGTGGAATTCTCTAAGAGACTGTGGTATAAATCTCCACATTGGCAGGATATTAAAGGAGGTCAGTGCAGTGTTGCTCTGTAATATACAATGGCATGCTAGCTCACTCTAACAGCACAGTCGCCATGGCAGGAACATGCTACGCTGCTATGTACAAGGTCAGCAATGCCTTTAGACATTTTACTATACATATCCCATGCCTAGAAAAGCAACCTTCTGTACACCGGGCTGTTCCTGTGTATGTTGTGCCTTTTGTCCATTATTTGTTTTAGATGTTATTGCCCATTGTCAGGCCTTTCTCCTCACGGCTCTTGGTTGATCTCAGCACTGTCAGGCCAATAACAATGCAGTGACAGTGCTGTGTTTGGAAAGTGGCCATTTCCCCCCAAATGTCATCTCCCCAGAGAAGGACATCACAAAGAGAGCCCTCCCAGTGCCCTGTGTCCAGTATGAAGGACATTGCAGAAGTCACCTCCGACTCAACATACACACAAACACACGCACGCACACACAGGCATACACACACAATGCACTCCCAAAATAAACTCACATATTCCCACAAACATCGCTACACTGGGGGAAGAACACAATCACAAACAGCCACACACACAAAGAAATCCATATTTGCGGGTGGATTCCTCTGTCGTGATTTGATAAGGCTGGTGAGTGGATAAGCAGTGAGACGTCTTTAGAATAGTAAGTAGGTGCTCCAGCTCAGCCTCCTCAGGCTTTGATGTCAGCTTTAAACTCGGCTTTATGTCGACAACAGTTGCCAAGCAAAGGATATACTCAGCAATCACTGGCATTACCATTCAGGTGACAGAGAATCTAATCAGATTTAACACAGTAGCAATCCTTTATGTCCAATCCTTAACATTTCTCTGAAATACTGTATTTTAGTGCATTATGGTCAACAGAAAAGAACACCACAAGGTGAGTTAGGGAGGCTGGCAAATTGGGAGATTTTTAGCATGCACATTCATAACCACTCACTCAGTCACTATCTCACGCACTTGCAAAAAAAGCTGACTCTTTCTTTTTTAACACAGCCCAGCTCTGAAAGAGACTTAAAACTGTACCAATATTGCAGAGACTAGTTAGAACCTTTTACATAAATGTAGGTGAATAATTCAAGCAATGGTTCTATTCCATAAAATCCCCTGGAAAGAACCTTCAAAGAGTTACATCATACTAACATAGCCTCATTTTGGGCCCAGAGGGTATTTAGCTCCATCACTCTCTCATATGCTCAGTCAGCCTGCTGAGCACAAACTGAAATTATCTCTGTCAGGCTACTGTTATGTGTGCCAGACATGGCAGTCATGTACGAGTCAGGGCTCTCATAGTAATTTGGACATGGTGCTTTCATGGCTCCAGAAGGGCAAATGGCTATTCACTTCAAATAATGGAATACCCTGACATTTCTGTCTGTGAGATTATTGCAAAGTTATACAGTAGTAGAATCATCATTATCACCATAATCACCGTAACCATTGTAATTATCATCATCGTTATCATCCTCATAATTTATTATTAAAAACTGATTCAGTTCCCTCCATCATTACCTTCCTCATTGTGATTGATCGTTAGAGAAATAAACTTTGAAAGAGGGAGATAGAAAAGGCTGCTCACTGAACAGGTTATACTGTAGCCTGTAGATATAACTGTGATCCCAAAAGAGCTTGTCCGTGTAGCTCAGTTGGTAGAGCATGGCGCTTGCAACGCCAGGGTTGTGGGTTCAATTCCCACAGGGGGCCAGTATAAAAAAATAATGAAAAAAACGTATGCACTCACTAAAACTGTAAGTCGCTCTGGATAAGAGCGTCTGCTAAATGACTAAAATGTAAAAAAAAAAAAAAAAAGAAGCTTGCTTGACTTGTCTCTTTCAACAGAAGATTTGGCTTTTTTGAAATTGAATTGCTGACTGCAATTCAACAGACAGCCCTGCTATCAAATAGAAATAGATCCCCCCGATGTTGTCCAATAAAACATCATTTTGATGGCCCGCCTCCAGCTGTGCGGTGTGTGATTTGCAGGTGGGCAGATGGTGGAGGCCAGGCATAGTCACACTGTCACCATGGTGATTGCCATTAATTAGAAGAGTTGACTCGAGAATAGTGATTATGATTACATGAAGTGATTCGTTTTACACACCTCTCTCTCCCATATACACACAGACACAATCACACACTCGCACATCAAAATACAACAATTAGAAATGAAAGTTTGTGCACGAGTGGAGGTGATTTCTGGAAACTTGGACTGGTGATGGGAGGGCAGTAGATGAATGACAGAGAGATTACACAGGCTGTGCCTTTGGTAGTGAGTGCGCTAGAGGAGAAGGGGTAAAGGTGATTGACAGGGAGGAAGGTGGTGGTGCTGACTTGGGCCCTAGTCTATCCCCCTCTCTCTCTGGTGGCAGGTGAGAGGAATTCCTCCGAGACCCAGACCTGATGGGCTGTTGACCCCTGACCCTTCATCATGGTGCAGCCCAGTGCACTTCTGGCGAAGGGGGCCCATGAGGGCCATTCCTCCAGCCAGCCCAAGTGCATGATGGACGATTGAATCCTTATTGAGTTCTCAGTGTCACTGCTGCCCCTCCCCCACACTCGGTCCCCTGTGCTACGAGGCATCAGCCTTGGGGGCTTTTTTTTCTTTCCTGCAGTTCTTGATGGAGAATGTTCTTTCATGACGTTCTTCTGACGTCTTCACTGTCTTCCGGGCAGGGCCTTCTTTCTCTTTCTCTTTCTCTTTCTCTTTCTCTTTCTCTTTCTCTTTCTCTTTCTCTTTCTGTTCATTGACTAGCTCGTGTAGCGATGGCTCCTTATACATGGCAACTGTGGGGCAGATAAGAGAAACAGTTGAAGAGTATTCAATGGTGAACATAAGCATCATGCAACATCTAGAATAACTTAATACTTTTCTGATATATCCCTGTCTTGGCAAAAATTCAGCACAGCATGGACAGGAGGGCACGTGACCAACCTTCTATAACTTTAGGCAGGAAGTGTGCAGCACCTTTGGTCTTCTTCACCCGGTTGCCCTTCATGACCTGTCCATCGCGGTTGATGCCGATATACCAGGAGCGGCCCGACTGGCTCTGGCGGTAGAGCATGGAGGAGTAGGTCACGTAGTAGTTCTCAAACACACTCTCTTTGAACTTACACTCTGGAGTGAAGTGTTCCTAAAGAGAAGGATAGAGAGAGAGAAATAGACTGTCACATTAACAAACAAACAAGCAAACTAAAACAAACCTCATGAGAGGAACTGCTATACACATTCAGCCAACCCAAAAACACAGACATTTATTCAAATGTAGGCATAGTATGTGCTCACACATACTGTACGCATGCACGCACAAGCTCAGTGAAAAACATTAATTATGAAAGTTGTGTCTAAGGGGAATCAAAGGGAAGGCTAGGATTCTATGTGTATTCATGTTTCTTTGAAAGCGAGAACATCCTGGTCTTTGGGGAGAAGATTGTAGAGTGATTTCACTCATAGTGAGGCATTACATTATAGCATCAGTGGTACAAACTTAGAACAGCCCCCTAAGGTACAGAGGATGAGAGAAACCACTGGGATATCCACATAAACAAAAGATTATCACACACCTACAAATACAAACACATAGTATGCAAATGAACAAATACACATACATTACGTTATTTTGGAAGTACATGGAAGTTCAGAGGCAGAACAAATGGTTCAAATGGAAGTCCCTTTCAACCTTCAAATTATAAACTTAATACAGAGCATTCACACTGTACTACTAGCTGAAAGTGAACACATAGCAGCACCCACCCTTTCCGAAGTTGGAGCTTATCCAACAGTTAGAACCCAGTTATTGGCTGTTAGCACATATCCCCAGTACCCATACCAGTGCTTAACCCCCCTACCTCCAGCACTAACATAAGGACCATTAAACCCTGCAGAATGTTGCCTGGTGATTGTAACCACTAGCGACAGGTATACATCTCTCTTAGTCACCGTCAGGGTCCTTCCCCTGTCAGAGAGCAAACCCAATCTGCACGATTGATTTAGTGAGAGCAGCAGGGCAGAAACAGCTGACTGGATACTTTCTCTGAGACTTAGGGAGGCTGGGGGAGATGGAGGAGGGGTGGGGGAGGACGAGTCGGTAATGAGAGGGGCATTAAGGAGTCAGTAGTGGACTCATCAGGGATGAAGGAGCTCCATGGTCACACGCTCACAGATCATCACCTCTCACCTTCAAGGTGCTGTGGCGTGCATGTCTGGGAAAGCCAATCACGTGCTGCATCTCCGCATGGTACCATACCCCCACCCCGGCCTCATATCCTTCCTCACTTACCTCCCCTACCCCTGTTCTCTATCATACCCCCGGTACCACCCCAGCCCCACCCCTGTTCTCTATTGTACCTCCAGACCACCCCCACCCCTGTTCTCTTTCGTAGCCTCGGTACGACCCCAGCCCCACCCCTGTTCTCTATCGTACCCCCGGTACCCCCCCAACCACACCCTGTTCTCTATCGTACCCCCGGTACCCCCCCAACCACACCCTGTTCTATATGATACCCCCGGTACTACCCCAGCCCCACCCCTGTTCTCTACTGTACCTCCAGACCACCCCTGCTTAACCCCTGTTCTCTATTGTACCCCCAGTACTACCCCAGCCCCACCCCTGTTCTCTATTGTACCTCCAGACTACCCCAGCCCCACCCTGTTCTCTATCGTACCCCCGGTACCACCGAAGCCCCAACACTGTTCTCTATCGTACCCCGGTACCACCCCAGCCTTGCTTACCTATAGGCAAATCTCACCTCTACATCACAGAGTTATTTATAGATCTTCTGACAAGTTTGATATATTAAGCTGCACTCACACACACAGGAGGAGATCGATAGATGATCTGCTTCATTCATTATTAATCAGGCTGGAAAGAGAGGGAGAGAGGGAAAAGTAGGGAGAGATGGAGAGAGAGAGTGAGAGGTAGGGAGGTAGGGAGAGAGAGAGGGAGGGAGAGGTAGGGAGAGAAGGAGAGGTAGGGAGAGAGGTAGAGAGAGCGGGAGAGGTAGGGAGAGGGAGAGAGAGAGGGAGAGGTAGGGAGAGGGAGAGAGAGAGGGAGAGAGAGAGGGGGAGAGGGAGAGCGAGGGTCTGGGCGAGAGAGGCCTGCTCCCCTGGTTCTCCCACAGGACCTGCAGGGGAAAGCGGGGCACCAAGGACTTTTCAATGAGTCTCCAATCACCATAACCCAGGACCCCACCACTGAACTCTGTGTCACCATAACCCAAAACTCAACCTCTGAATCATCACTAGGCAGGATAACCCATCACTAAGCCCTAGATTACCTTAAATTCTGAAATGACCCTCATGGTAACAAACCTTGTTCTCTGAAATTATACCTTCAAGAAAACCCACAAGGCGACTTCTGAAATGATCCTGCCGATAATCCACAAATTGTACTTCTGAACATTACCATGACGATAATCCTTGATGAATTCTGTGGAATGAGCCTTACGATAACCCACTTCCTCATTATGACGTCTATCTAACAGCATTTTTTAACAGGACGTCTCCTGAGGATTCCTGGCAAGATGTCAGCAGAGAGGAATTACCCTGATCATAACCGACCGCTAAACCCCTGAACTAATCATCCTGATAACCCCGAACTCAGCTACCATGGCTGCTACAGTATATCTAAACTCACATAGCCTAGTTTCTGTAATTACTATGCCTTTAATCCATGAGTAAGCCTCAAGGTAACCCACTATCTGTCTTTGCAGGATGGTAGAGGACTCCCCACGACATGACCTTCAAACTTCCACTGATTTAGCCTCTACCTTTGAGCCCACCTTTAGAACCAGTTGAGTAAATAATTCCTAAACCCTTTTTAAGTGAAGAAGGGAGACATTTTCATTTAAAGATGAGTGCTTAGACTAAAGTATAAAATGAAATAAAAATCTCATCCTTCACTGGTGACTTATTGACTGACTCAGGCGGCTTCCTTTCGCTGCATCTCCAGCCAGAATGAATTGTAATGAAAGCCGGCGAGAGAGGTAATATCCAGCGTCCATGCAGAGAATCCTGAGGATGGGTAGAACCTCTTTATCATGCAAAGCGGTATCCCTACCTTCCCCTCCCCCTTTCTCCTCCTCCTCCTCTACCTCCTTCTCCCTCAGCCAGCCCTCGTGTCTGATTACATCTATTCTACCTGCTCCAGGAAGCTTAACTCCTAACGCCACCATATGCTACGCTGCGCTGCTCTCCTGGAACAATAATCAAGCCAAGGACTCAGGCCAGGGGCTATCACACCAGGTAGCTACTAGCTACACCCAACAATGTTTACACAACCTTTCAGATCAATTGGTGTAACTGATACCTCTTCCTCACCCATGCAGTTGGGGCCATTCATACGGATTCATAGTGCGGGAGTTGTATGCCACTTTCTCACTTTCACACCCCTTCTTTTCAAGTCACAAAATGTCATCTTAAGCACTTTTTGTCGCTTCATATTTTGTCTGTTATTCTCTGATAAAGAAAAACAATGCACAAATGTGTGCCACTGCTTAGTAATGACTTGTGAGTAAATGATGTGTTGGGCTAATAGTCTTATTTATAGTAGGGATGTGCATGGTTATTGGAATATTTGAATATCCGAACGGATGTTAGTATTCGAATGCTTATGTGAGTATTCATTTGAGGCCTATTTTAACACTAAATAAAAATATCCATGTGACATTATTAGATACAAGGATATACCAAATGTAATAAAACAACAAACCTTTCAATGTAGTTTTTATGACATGTGCCACATTAAAAGACCGGTAGCGGCTTGGTAGCCTTCACATGTGTAGCTTGTTGTTTATGTTGGCCAATCAAAGTGGCAAAGAGGCTCAATGTGTAGCAAGTAGAGTGAGAGTTCACTAATGCAATGCAACATGGAATAAAATTACAGAATTAAAAGTTTGCGAAATGAGAAAGAGCAGGCTACAACAAGCAACCAACAAGTAGGATGTTGTTTTATCTGAATGGGGTTGAGGATAAAGCGCAGCATGTAGCCTCAATTAGCCTAGCTAGCTATAGCTGGCTAGCTTAGCTAGCTATCTAGCTAGCTTCTCTAGGCTTCTCCAGTCAAGACAGGCACTGTTATACTGTATGGGATGATAAAAAAACATTGTGGCTGCTACAAGTTAGCTAGTCTTGGCTGTAGCCGAGTTGCCTTGGCTCCTCCCATCTCACACACACCAGCCCCTCCGCAACTGCAGCAATAGAGCGCCAGCCTCTCTCCCTCGCGCAGCAGTGCTCAGGTTAAAAACGTATGTAAAAAACAACAACATGTATTTTGAATATCTAGATATCCAACAGAAATGTATCATACTATTCAAATAGTACAAAAGCTGAAGAACATAGGCCCATCCAGGTACTTTCCGCAGGTGCTGGAGTTGTGCGCAAATTCATGAAAAACAGAAAGGAAAACACCGCACACTGCTGCTCATGCTCCCAGGTGATATTTATTTATAACAACGTTTCGACCCTTAAGTCTTCATCAGGCATCCATATCCCAGGTGGGGGTGGAATGTCCTATTTATACGGGCAGTACTCAGTGACATCACTTCCTGAAACAGGAGGTAAAAAATGTATAACATAGGTTCACAACATTAACATTCAATGTATCAAAATATATGATCATATGCAAGCAATGCAATCAATATTTACAGTAATATACATAAAATATTCATACATTGTTTAGACATATTGAAACTATAAAAACGGGTTCAAGTCAAACTCCTTGTTAAGGCCAAGAGGAGATAGTGTGTTGAGCCTGTGGATCCAGAAAGATTCCCTTTGAAGAAGTTTTAAAATTTTAAAATCAATTTAAAAAACAAACACCATTTGGACATATTGAAACTATAAAAACGGTTTCAAGTCAAACTCCTCGTTAAGGCCAAGAGGAAACTTCTTCAAAGGGAATCTTTCTGGATCCACAGGCTCAACACACTGTCTCCTCTTCTGGATCCACAGGCTCAACACACTGTCTCCTCTTGGCCTTAACGAGGCTCAACACACTGTCTCCTCTTGGCCTTAACGAGGAGTTTGACTTGAAACTGTTTTTAGTTTCAATATGTCCAAATTGTGTGTTAAAAAAAAATCCTAATTGAACATTGTAGGAATATTGTATGTATATTACTGTAAATATTGATTGCATTCCTTGTATATGATCATATATTTTGATACATTGAATGTTAATGTTGTGAACCTATGTTATACATTTTTTACCTCCTGTTGCAGGAAGTGATGTCACTGAGTACTGCCCCTATAAAAAGGACCTTCCATCCCCACCTAGGATATGGATGCCTGATGAAGACTTAAGGGTCGAAACGTTGTTATAAATAAATATCACCTGGGAGCATGAGCAGCAGTGTGCAGCGTTTTCCTTCTGTTTTTCACTATTCAAATAGTGAAATTATTTAAATCCCCCTTCCCTAGCTAATAGTAAAACTGAGGTAGTTTCCATGGTGTAGTCCTCTGTATTGCCAGCAGGGGTCGTAGTGACACATTAGGCAGACCTGCCTGTGTCTGTTGACCTTCCCCAGCAGTCCCTGGGTAATCTAAGGCCTTTTCAACTTTTGGCAAAAGTCAGTCCTCCACCCTGTCTCCTCTGTCCTCTCTCCTCTGTGACCCGGAAACCGATAATTGGTCGAGTGGTCAAGGAGATGTCAATTAGTTAGTTGGCAAATGGAAGAGTGTCCTCCCCTCCTCGATAGCCAACTTTTCTTCGAGGATAGTCATGTGTATCCTACCTAAGTCCTTCGCGGGAGAGTTTTTAAAACCCCTTTGAATCAGCTTTGTTTTGTCGTAGGAGAAACGCATGTAGATGTTTAAAAACAATATGCTACTTATCGTTTTATCTATAAAATGTTAACAAATTAATTTGCTTTTATCA